CCGCGCGCGCCGCGCGCGCGGCGGACTACCGCCGCGCGCAGCTCGCGCGCGCGCGGCTGGCCGCGGCGGACGCGCAGCGGCGCGCGGCGGAGCTGCAGCAGTCCAGGTGGGCACCCGCGCCCTCAACCCACCGCACGAATCCTGAGCGTGCCTCTTCGTCCCTGACCTCGGCCACCCCCGTGTTCGCTGTCCTAGCATCCGCCTCCCCCTGCCCAGCACTGAGCCTCGCCTGCTCGCCTCCTCTTCTTGTCCCGGGGACAACAACCCGCTACTCTCTGCAGGCGCAAAGCTCTTCAGGCAAAGATCCGCGCGCTGGGTGCGTCCGGCAAGGTGCGCGACGTGCAGGAACTGCAGGCCACAAAGCTGGAGATGACCCGGGCGCACGAGGAGGCCCTGCGCACCGCCGCGCGCGGCGGCCCCGGCCCCGGCGCCGCCGCCGCCGCCGCTGCCCAGGCAGCGGAAGAGGGGGAGACCCCGAGCACAGGGGCCGCGGCGGCGGAGGCGGCGGCGGCGGCAGACAAGCCTGCGGCGTTGGGGCCGGACGCGCCGGTGTTGGCTGTGGTGATCAAGGGCGACGTGCAGGGCAGCGTGGAGGCGGTGGAGCAGGCCATGGCCAACCTGGCGGAGGGGCGCGCGCACCTGCAGGTGCGAGGGTGCGGGCGCCGCGCGGCGCCTGTGAGGTGTCGTCGCATTCGCGGGCTGGCGGCCCCTCACCGACAGGGGCCGGCATCAATGCTGCGCTTGGGGCGCCTGTTGCGCCTGTACGGCTGCGTGCCTGTACGGCTGCGCCCAGTTGCAGCCCAGCCCAGCGTGGAGCCCCCACGAGCACGCCCCAACGTCCTCTGCCACAACGCTTCGCCTCGCCCTCATCACCTCCATCACCCTCCCCCCTTCTCTTCCCGTCACACACACACACACAAACACACGCACCAGGTGGTGTACTCGGGCGTCGGCCCCATCACCACGAGCGACGCCAACCTGGCAGCCGCCACCGGCGCCTGGCTCGTCTCCTTCAACCTCCCCGCCCCCGCCCGCGACGCCGACGCGGCGCTGCGCCACGCGGGCGTGCGCGTGGTCAGCCACCGCGTGATCTACCACCTGCTCGACGAGGTCGGCAGCTTCCTGGAAGGCGCGCGGGGCGCCGCGGCCGCGGCAGCCAGCGAGCAGCTTCTCGGCAGCGCCGCGGTGGTGCAGGTGTTCCCTCTCGTCGTCAACGGGCAGGAGGCCGGCCGCGTGGCCGGCGTGAGGCTCGCAGACGGCAAGCTCGTGCGCCACTGGGCGGCCGCCGCCGCGGGCGACGCGCAGGGGCAGGACGCGGCGGCGGCGGCGCAGTCTCACCGCGTGGTGTACCGACTGCTGCGGGAGGGGGAGGTGGTGTACGAGGGCCCCTGCAGCAGCCTGCGGCGGCGCAAGGACGACGTGGAGGCCGTGGAGGGGCGCGGCGCGGAGTGCGGCGTGGTGCTGGACGAGGGCCGCCTCGCCGACGTGCGTCCGGGCGACGTGCTGCAGTGCGTGGCGGTGCCGGCGGCCGCGGGGGCGTGACGGCGGGGGCGCGGGGCGCCCGGCCCGTCGAGTGGGGTGTCTGCCAGTGTTGCCGTGGTCTGATCGTGGTTGCTGCATGATGCGCAGGGGTGGCCGCTTGTGTTCTCGCGTGGCTGTTTGAGATGAGCAGCCGTGTTGCTGTTGTGCCCTTGTTGCCCCGTGGTGGCTTTATGCCAACTGCTTGACGTAATCCGCATCATGTGATGCCCTAGAAGTTCTGCAGCGTTTGAGGTTGCTTTCACAGTATTTCGCTCTTTTGGCTTTTCTGCAGGGGCAACGGAAGAGCGACCCTCTCCGCACGCCCTGCCAGGCACTTTTTTGCTTGCCATTTTAAATCAATAGCCGCGCAAGAAGACTAAGTGAAGTTCATGTAATGGGCAAGGCGCAGAGGTCCATCGCGCAGTCACAGGCGAGGCTAGACCTATGCCACACGTGGTGGTTGGCCACCAAAGTCACGACCCGGCAGTTGTGGGTGCCATGCAGAAGTCCCAGTTTGTGAGACTCAGCAGCTGCATTTGCAGCGCAACAAGACTGGAATGTTAGGATCAAAAGTCCTGCGAGCTTGACCACCCGGCACCTGGAGCTTGAATGTTACTCAGAGTTTTCTGGGAGAGCGGGGCGAAATCCTCGGCGTCTCCTACCTGGTTACTGACCTGTGCAAATCGAATATTTGGGGCCCAGCTTCCGCATCACTGGCCGCCTTGATCAACTTCCTCCTCCTCAGTAGCATACGTTTTGGCCATTAGGGCCCTGGCGCGCGCCAACACAGCACCCAGGTCATCGGGCGCTGCTACCGCGCCCCCTCGCGCCGGTGCTGCTGCCACCAATGCCGCTGAGAGGGCAGCCGGCTGGGCAGGCTCCGCCCCATCGCCGCCATCCGTGCCACTTTCCGCAGCCACGCTGCTACCCACCCTCGCCCGCGCCTTTCCTTTACGCTGGCGCGTCGCCATGGGCGCAGCCGCTGCTGCAATCGCTGCCGCCGCAGCAGGCACAATGCCGGCCCCTGCATGCTGCATATCAAACTTTGGCTGCTCCTGCTGGGCGGAGGGCCCTGTGCCACTACCCCTGTGGATAAGCGTGGCGCCGCCCTGCTGGCTGAAAGTGACGCTTTCGAGCTCGGCATGGAACCTGCTCAGCTCCAGCCGCAGCAGGCAGTCGCCGCTGGCAGCCTTGAGGGTGATCGACAGCCCCTGACCCAGCTCCTGACAGAGATCCTGCTGAAGCCTCAGGTCCCGCCTGAGAGTGCGATGTATATACAAGCAGCAAAACAAGCCACTATTGCTGGTGATTATGACGCGGCAAAATCCGCTGAGCATGTGTCGCAACACACGAGGGCATCACATCTGGATCGCCGGCATACGCCTGGCGCACACATGCGCCAGCTCGACCACACTCGCTCTCACCCCCCGCGCCCTCACTTGCGGTTGTTCCAGCGCGCCAGCACCTCGCCGCCTGGCCCAAAGTGCGCCCCCGCCTCCCTGCGCTTCCAGGTCAGAGCCATGGCGCCGCTTGCGTACTGCGCAAACCCGCTGCCCCCATCAGAGCTGAGCGCCACATTTGCGGCAACACTGGCGCCAGTGGCGTCAAACATGGCCATCAGCCGGTAGCCGCTGGCGGGGTCGAGGTCTGCCGAGGCCGCAAGGCCGCCTGAGGGCCAGCTGACAGAGCCGGTGCCGTTGCGGCGCAGCGTCACAGAGGGCATGCCGTTGTCGTGCCTGCGGCGCTCGCGTCCAAAGATGCACGCAGGGTGGTGTCATAGTGCTGGCACCAGAAATCGATTACTGGGGTACGGCAACGCATTACCATAGTGGTCAAACAGCGACTGGCTCCCAGATCATACATATGCATTTTGCTCAAGCCCACACCATGTCACTTGCTCCTCTGCCCTGCAGACCACCTGTTGCTGAAGTATGTCACAGGCGGCTCCTTGCGCAGGGCTGCTGCTGCGGCTGCTGCAATATCCGGTGCCCTGAGCGAGCTGGGCTTCGTGGTAGTCAAGGACAGCTGGGGGAGCAGCTGCACGGCGCTCTGCAGAAGGAGGGAACACTGTAGTGTCAGTATCGTTCAGTATCCTATCCCTTTAGCTTTCACTTGGCATGCACACCCACAGCTGGTGCATACGCACCTGAAGCCACGCTTGCAAGCTCGAATGCCACCCCCAGCGGGGAATCCAAGCACCTGAAGGCTTGCGTCGCTCTTTGCGCCAGGGGGCCCTAGCCCCAGCGCCCAATTGCTGCCACGCGATAAGGACCGGCTATCACCCTGATCGCCTGTTCGCATCGGGCCCCTGCCCTGTGCCAGGTCTGGCGCCCTGGTGGATGCAGCAATGGCAACGTCACGCCAGGTTGGGCCGCCCGCTGCTGACTGGGCCTCTGCAGTGCTGACCCGCTTGCAGTCTAAGATCTGCGAGGGTGCAAGGGAGATGCGACCCTACTGTGTTCAAGGTATGCTCAGGGCCGACCGTGAGGAGGAGCAGCAGCAGCAGCAGCAGCAGCAGCAGCAGCAGCAGCAGCAGCAGCAGCAGCAGCAGCAGCAGCAGCAGCAGCAGCAGCAGCAGCAGCAGCAGCAGCAGCAGCAGCAGCAGCAGGAAATCACAGCACAAGACGCAGCCTGCACAACGCATCGCGACCCAGCAACAAGCACTTTGAGCACCTGCAGGCCCTGGAGTGCCGCCAGAGTCGCCGCGCGGCCGCCGTCTTGCATTGCGCTGGTGACTGGATTGCCGTATATTGCCAGCTTCACCAGGCGTGGCAGAGCCTCGAGTGCCACGAATTCAGCGGCATCAGCCACCTTGTTGCGGTGCAGCATCAACTCCCGAAGGCCGGTCAAACCCGTCAAAGGCTGCAGCAAGGCGATAGCGTTGCCTCCCGCGTTCAGGGACTCCAGGGCAGGCAGGCCGCGGAGATCTTCCAAGCTGGTGAGGCAGTTGCGCTGCACGTTCAGGTGCCGCAGGTTCTGCAGTGCTGACAGGCCCCGCAGCGACGTGAGCTGGTTGCAGGAGAGGTTCAGGGCCGAGATGGCGGCCACCTCCGGCTGGCTGGACAGCGGCCCGATGTCTGCCACGGCCTGAGTGATTGAATGTAATCATGACGCAGCCTGAGGACCAGAAACTGCTAGCATATTCAGCTAGTTCACCGCACGGTGCAAGTGTATTGATGACTGGCGGGGCCCAACGCGCTCTAGTGGCACAGCGTTGCAACACTGCACCTTGGCAGAGGTCCGGCCCACTGACACCACTTGCTCACCGTTGCGGTGTGATGCAGCTCTCCGCTTAGCTCTACGTCCTCGTCGATCTCCATTTCTTGACCGTCGCTGCACCGTGATCTTCAGCGTTGTACCGAACGGAAATATGATGGTGTAACGTAGGTAGATATTGCATGCACAGCAACGGCCTGCTCCTTTCCAGCTTGCATGCGGTATCATACAGGAGTTGCGCAGACGCAGCCCCGGCTGGCTGGACGCCCCGCCAAGCCAGCCAGCTTCGCAGACATCAGCAATGGCCTGCGTTGTTGCCAGCTGCTGTAATGCCACCTTTGGCATATCCTATCCCACACATTGATTTGTTACACCAACATTTCTCTCACTGCACATCTTCGCTGCATACACTGCTTCGGTACTCCTGCACAAACGCGTCGGCATCGCGCAGTGCCTTGACCGCGCGCCAGTAGATGGCCCCCGCCCCCTGCTTGCCATGCCGGTGCTCGAACCGCGCATACGCCAGCCAGAAAGATGGCTCGAAGTCCCCGTACGCCTCCACCGCTGCCTCCAAAACGCGCCGCACGCGCTGCAGCGCCTCTTTGCGCGCGGCCTTGCGCGAGGCGCCGCCGGCACCTCCTCGCTGCTGCTGCTGCTGCTGCTGCTGCTGCTGCTGCTCCTGCCCCAAGGCCTCCAGCTCCTGCCCCTCCAACTGCAGCATGCGGCGGTACATGTCACCCCCCGCCGGCGGCAGCGCCGCAAGCCGTCCAAACAGCTCCCGCGCCGCAGCCGCGCCAGAGGCCTCCCACAACGCGGCGAGCAGGCGGCCAGCCGCGTCGCCCATGCCGCCGGACGCCGGGCCCTTGGGCGCGCCGGTCTGCGCAGCGACCATGATTGCCGCAAGCTCGGCAAGCTCTGCCGGCTGCTTGCAAACATCGAGGGCCTGCGGAGCAGCGGGCGGGGCGGGCGGGGCCGTAAGGACGCGTGTGACTCGAGCGTTTCTCGTCTTCCGACAACGCCAGCCACGCGGGCAGGCCTTACACAGCAGGGGCGCTGCCGCGCGTGCTGTGAGGAGGCAGGGAGGCGCGCCGCAACCAGGCAAAAAACCGCCGGGTCACACCTGCAGCCACATTTCCGGCGCCTTGTCGGCTGGCACGTGTTGGAGTGCTTCCCGGATGACGGCGAGCAGCTGCCCTGCGGCTGCCGTGCTGCCGCCCCGCAGGCGCGCCTCGAGCGCCACGCGCCGCTTCCAAACAGTCGGACTGGAGGGGAAAGCGCCGCACGCGAGCTTGGCGGCCTTGAGGGCCATCTGCGACGGTGGGTGCGGAAAACCAGGCACACTTAGGCAATTGGTACGTGCACGGTTGGCACACCGACACACACAAACTGCAGATGCTGGCGCCGCCACAACCGGAACGTCGAGGACGACCCCAGGATTCCGGGCCGGCCGTCCCCTCCATGCGGCTGCGCACCTTCTTCTGCTGCAGCTGCATCGCCACCTGGGACCACGCATCGTACAGCTCCTCCCCCGCGGCCCCGCCCTCGTGCGCGCGCCGCAGGACCTCCAGCAGCTGCTGCGCGGCGCCCGCCGCCGCCAGCACGCGCGCCTCCTCGCCGCCCGGCCCCGGCAGGGCCGCGTCCAGCCGCTGTCGCAGGAACGCTGCGTACAGCTCCCAATGCCGCTGCAGCCGCGCCGCCCGCTCCTGCTCCTCCCGCAGCCTGCGCTTGTCTTCCCCCGCCCCTGCGGACCCCGCATCCGCGCTGCCGGCGGCAGCGGCGGCCGTGGCAGCGCACCCGGCAATGGCGGCCTCGAAGCGCCGCGCCGCAGCCGCGATCGCGTCCTCGCTGGCGGCCGGGTCCGACGGGTCGCAGCCAAACCTGGCCAACAGGTCGACGGCCTCGGGCTCCTGTGAGCGGGGGGACCAGTTGCATGTTAGCGGTCACACAAGGGCGAGAAGCTGCCCACCACGGGGCCGAAAGAGCCTGCAAAACCGCAAACATCCCAGGCGCAATGCTGGCCGTGGCCTCAACCCAGACGTGGCGAGACGTCATGGTGTGTACTTATGATGGCCGATGGCCTGCGCATGGACCCACAATCGGCCGAACAGCTGACCTGGGGGAAGTCAGCCTCCACGCTGCGCGCAATGTCCTCAGCCAGCGCCCGCGTCCCAGGGAAGCTGTAGCGCCCGACCGTCTCCAGCAGCCCCCGCCGCAGCGCCAAGTCGCGCGGCATCGCCGCCGCCGCGCTGCGCGCCACCACGCGCGCCACCGCGCCTGTCAGCACCGCCGCCACCGCCGCATCCGGGCCGGCACCGCCACCGGCCGCCTCCTGCTGTTGCCCTTCGCCACCCTTGAGGCTGGCGAGAATGCTGCCAGAGCCAGCGCCAGCGCCCTCGCCGCCCTTGCCGTCCTCATCCATCGGCCCCTCACCATCCTCCGCCTGCTGCTGCTGCTGCTGCCCCTCTTGCTGCTGCTGCTGCTGCTGCTGCTGCTGCTGCCCCTCTTGCTGCTGCGCCGCCACCTGCTGTTGCTGACTTGTCGGCTCGTCCTCCGGCACATCTAGGCCCAGAGCTTTGCGCCGTGTGCGCAGCTTCTGGACGTACATCAGCTCCTAGAGGGGGCAGGAAGAGGGGGTATGAGGAGCGGGTGAGAAGAGGGGGCAGGAAGAGGGTGCAGGAAGGCGCGAGAGCACAGCGCCAATCAGCTGCCGTACTGCCAGGTACCACCCACACTTTTCAGTCGATTGAGGGAAGACAACAAAGGGGGAGACAAGAGAGCGCAACAGGAAAAAGCCGTCCACATGTCGCTTGCACGCCCAAGGCGCCCTTGCCGCAGAGACAACCGTTTATAGCAACATCCCAGCACGCTTTGCCAGCAGCGAGGCAACGCCCCTTGGGGCGAGACATCCTCAGGCGCCCTCAGGGGCCCACGCACCCAGCCCAGCGGCCGAAGGGTAAGGTGGGCGCGGCTCGGGCCAGACCTCAACAGCCAACTTGACGTCACCTGTACCTTGCCCCCCTCACCTGCCTCGCCCCCCACACCTCGTCCCTGCTCACCTGTCTGCATGAGCTCGCATCACACACACACACACACACACACACACACACACACGCACGCACGCACGCACGCACGCCTCCATTAGGCCCTTCCCTCAAGCACCCCCAAGCCCCATCCCCGCCGGCGCCAACGCCGACGTGCACTGCCCCATGCGCGCACGCACCATATCGAGGTACTGCAGCCACATCTGACGGCTGTCCCTGCACATCCGCAGCCCCTGCTGCATCAGCGCGCGCGCCGCCCCCGGGTTGGCGTTCTCCTCAAACTCCCAGGCCGCCGCGTACGTCCACAGCCCCGGTGCGTTGGGGTGCAGCTGCAGCGCGCGCGCCGCCACGCGCGACAGGCGGCGGTTGCTGCGCGTCGCGCGGCAGAACTCAAGCCAGCGGGTCCAGACGCCCAGGTCGCGCTTGAACTTGCGGACTGCGCGCTCAAAGATGAAGTGGACGCGCTTCACCAGAGCGTAGTCCGCGAGCGACTGCTTGGCCTGCTCCAGGCCCAGGCCGCGGCGGCGGGCGCGGCGCAGCTGCTCCAGCTTGGTCTCGTATTCCGCGTAGCTGGGGGAGCGCGCGCGCGTGTGGTGTGAGCGTGTGAGCATGCGTCTGCAAGTCTGTCTATTCACCACAAGCTTTGTGCATCTATGCAAACATCAATATCATATGTGTGTGTGCGTGCGTGCGTGCGTTCGTGCACATGCGCATGCCTAGGCGGGGGTGCAGGGGTGCAGATGGCTTGAGTCTGGTGCTGGGATATGTTCCGTGAGGGTGGTGTAAATGGCTAGCCCAATATTTGTACGTCAAACAGCCACGTAGACCTTCATGATAAGCAGGTGCACACTCTACGCAACCCTCTGTGCTGCAGACAAGACACTAGCCGCCGCGCTGCTTCACCCAGCGCCGCTCCGGCTGAGCACGTCGGCCGGCGACCCACCTGAGAAAATCTTCCTTCAGCGCAGACTTGCGCTTGAGTTTGTATTCAAACTCTTGCCTTTTCCGCACTATTTCCTTGATCTCCTGTTTGCTGAAATAGCTTTTCTTTTGCATGTCCTCCAACTCTGGCACCATCTGCTCCATCAAGTACCTCACAGTGTCCGCCATCTTTGTGTACCACCCACAGGTTCGGCCAGATCGACGCTGATGATGGCTTCACTCGCTCAAGGTTCACGGCAAAGCCAATTGTTCGGCCTCCACGTGCACAGAGAAGTAACAAAATAAACTACTGATAGCCTTAGGGACACTCTGCGCTATGACATACTGCTGCGATGTGCGTTTGCGCGGCGGCTGCCTTGGGACGCGACGACTCAAGGTGCGTCACCAGGCGGGCTGCCAATGGTGCCACAGTAGGGCAGATGGGTCCCTTGCAGCTTTGGCGTTACATCAAAGACAATGTTCAGGGAACAGTCCAACCTTCATCAAGCCTCGTGTGGATGACTGTGCTGCGTGGACCTGTGGCACTGGGCCCGCTCAACCAAACAAGCAACGACCGTCCCTCATCATGCCTATAAGAAGAGCCAAGTCTTGCTACCTGTTACGGTTAATGGATGTACCAGCTGCTGCATTTGCAGGCACCAAGCAAGCAAAAGGGCTGTCATGCTACAGACGAGCGCATGTGGGGCAAGGCGGGTGCGCCGCCAACCAGCGCGCTGACAGGCACTCACGCAGAGGCAGCAGTGCGCGCTACTTGCTCGCGAGGGCCTCCGCAACAGCCGCCTGCGCCGTCTCGAGCGCCGCCACCTCCCGCGCCGACGCCGCGTCGCTCCACCCGCTCAGCACGCCCAGCGCGCCTTGAAGCGTCCGCAGCCTCTCCTCCGGCAGTTGCCCCAAGCCGCCGGCGTCCAGCCGGCGTGCCAGGTCAGCGCCGACAGATAGCACCTGCCCGCGCGAAGAATCTTCGAGTGAGCCCTCTCCGCCGGCCCCAACGCCGCTGCTGCCACCGCTGCCGCCGCCGCCGCCGCTGCCGCCGAGCGCGAACAGCAGGTTGGCTGCCTCGCTGCACCCGGCGCCCTGCAGCGCGCCGCCGGGCCGCAGCGCCGGCGCCAAGAAGCGCGCGTAGTACGCCGCGTCCGCATGGCCCAGCTGCCTCAGGCCCGCCAGCGTGGCCACCATCCTCCCCGTGATCACACTCTCCTCGCCCGCCGTCACCGCCGGTCTGCCCAGCTGTGGAGGGGCATCAACCAGGTCCCCAAACTTGTCGGCACCGATCTCCTCCAGCCGCGCCGCCAGGGCCGGCACGAGGCGCCCGGGTACGTCCTCCGCGG